TGCGAGGGGGACGTAAACGGCAGCACGCTGAGCGAATATCGGTGGGCAGGCAGGCAGGCAGGCAGGCAGGCAGGCGGCCTGGCAACAAAGGGGGCGGGAGGCTGGAGGCTGCTGCTCAGCAAGGACGTGCGGCGTGGCGGGTTGGGGCGGGGCGGACCCCGTTAACTAATCACAATAAGAGCAAAACGATACTAGTTGCGCAGTAACCGAAAACGCCAGGCCCTCCCTGTGCCTCTGTGCCTCTGCTCTCTCTCTCTCTCTCTCTCTCTCACTCTCTCTCGCCTTTGGCCCGAGTGGGACGGGCAGGGAGGCTCTACATGTGCGTCGTGTTTCAAGCCGACACGTTGATTGGGGCGAGAGGTGCGGGCGAGGCCGGCGTCGATACACACTGTCGGAGTAACGCGACGCGACGCGAGCACTTTGCAACTTATTTGTTGTTGACGCACGCGGCCAGGCAGCCAGCAGACTGATTCCGAGAGTCGTCTTCGTCGCTCTATGTCTCTCGCATGTAAGGCACGCCCCATGAGTGCGCGGGAAAGGGACAGGGCGACGGAAACGACTCTCGGAATGAGTCTGCCGGCTCAGGTGGAGCAGCACATGCCGGTAATGATCGGATTGGAAATGTGCGTCATGGAGGCGCAGGTGGGCGCCGAGAGGCCGTGCCTGGCCGTGCCGCCGAGAGGCTGTGGCGCGGACGAGGGCGTCGAGTGGACGTAAATCTGCGTTAATTGTCCAAATTAAATCAACGTTTTCGATTTCGTTCCCCGCGCTCCGCCCCAACAACTCGGGCGAACATTCCGCGCGGGCCCTGCCGGAGTTTTTCTGCCATTTTTCGTTTTCTCTCGGCGCTGGCTGGTAGCAGCAGGTATCGAGTGCTGGCGTGGCTGGCATGGCGGCGTGCTTGTTTGCTGCCCTTGGCTCGCGGTGGGCACTGTGAGCAGCGGCGCGGAGGGCGGACGCGGCGGACGCAAAACGCGGCGGGGTGCAAAACGATATCGAAGCAGCTGCGAGGTGTCAACCGGTCGCCTGCCCGTAAAATTACGCGACTTTACGTCTCGCTATTGAATGAAACGGATTGGAACGCCGGCGGCCGGAGGGACGAGGCAAGATTGGCAAAGTTTCGGCAGCGAGCGGCGCGTGGTTTGAACAGTGCCAAATGTAGGGGTGCCATCCGGTCACGCGCGCGCCGGCCGGGCGGCCCTGTATACAGATCCAGTGCTAATGTCGCGCTCGCGAGCGCGCCGCGCCGGGCGGCAACTCAGTTTGGTCTAGTTAGCGGCGTGTTTGCGCCCTTTCTGCCTGCCGGCATTCATCGCCACCAACTACAGTGGCGCGACCCAGTCGCCGGCCTCGCCGCCCCCGAGGAGCCGTGGCCAACGCGGCCCCCTTTTTGTCCGAGACTTGTTTTGCGCGCCGGCCGAGCAGCTTGGCACTTCCCTCTAGGCGCTTATGCAGACGTAATAGACCGCGATGCGGCGTGCCCCCCCCCCCCCCCCCCCCTTCTGGGCCGGCATCTATCTCCTGACGGATAAGATGAATCGTCACACTGGGAGCGCGCTGGCTTCGGGGAGCAGCCCCCGGCTCGGCCCGGCCCGACAGGCCCCGGCTGCGTCGCGGCCGCTCTGCTCGGCGCTGCGTGGCACTTGACCAATCATCTCAGTCGGCTGAGCAGCAGCTGATGAGGTGCGGTCGGGAGGGGGGGGGTGTTTTGTGTTCCACGTGCCAGATCACATAGGGAGCGTGCGGCGGTTGCGTTTCCAGGCCCACCGTGCACCGCGCTGTGCGGCGCTGTGCGACCTGCAGCCTGGTTCCGAGAGTCACTTTTGTGGCTCTGTCTCGCTCGCACCTGTATAGGGGCCGCCCCATGAGGGCGGGAGAGACAGAGCGACGAAACCGACTCTCGGAATCAGTCTGGTGACCTTGGTGGAGGCAAATTGAATGCAGCGGGATGAGCCCCCCGTCCGGGCAGCCATGGGGGCTTTGATGGCGTAGCGGCGCAGCACGGTGACTCGACCTGGAAAGCGCGCTCGACTGCCTGCAGGCGGACTGACAGCGTTCCATCGGCCTGTCTCTCTCGCGCCCCAACGGGACGCCCTACGAGAGCGAGGGGACTGCTTGACTGCCGCGAGACACGAGTGTCGCGTGCCCGCCACGCCACGCCAAGCCACGCCACGCCAAGCCACGCCAAGCCAAGCCACGCCACGCCACGCCACGCCACGCCACGCCACGCCACGCCACGCCACGCCACGCCACGCCAAGCCACGCCACGCCACGCCAAGCCACGCCAAGCCACGCCAAGCCACGCCAAGCCACGCCAAGCCACGCCAAGCCACGCCAAGCCACGCCAAGCCACGCCAAGCCACGCCACGCCACGCCAAGCCACGCCAAGCCACGCCAAGCCACGCCAAGCCACGCCAAGCCACGACAAGCCACGCCACAGACTCGTTAATGTCCGTCCCTTTCCTCGCCGCGCCTGGGCCGCGCAGTGACAGCGATATCGGTTAAAAACAAAAACAAAAAGCAATTTGAGAGGACGTGGAACGCCGCGGTTTCCCTTTGAAGCGTGTCGAGGGCGCTGCGTCGCGGAGACTGCGGCGGACTGGACGCGCGTTGTCGAGGGTGTTGAAGGCGCGGCCTTGGGCTTCCCAGTGGTTGGAGTGACGGAGGCAGGGTGTCTCCGGAAGGGAGTTTACGAAGCGGTACTTGTGAGTCACGCGGAGCGGAGCGCGAACCGCCTCGCGGTGAGGGGCGGGTCCAGGCGGGGTGCCACCGCGCTACACGCAGGCAGCAGCCTCGGTGACCACTGCGCCGCACTGCGCGCAGTGGGTCAGATTCGGAGGACCTGCTTGGCCGCTCTGGAGGCCTCATTGAATGGGCCGCTGCTCGAAGGCAGTACGATACCATCCTGTTGGATTTGAGCTCCACAGAGCGTCAAAATAGCCCGGAGTCGTGTCCGTTTGCCAGATTGGTCTGCTGGTCCACGTATACGTATAGCACTGCAGAAGCCGCCATGGGCTGCCTGGTGCCACTTTGAAAAGTTCCAAGTTTTCTGCATCTTATTTTGTCCCCATTTGAAATTTTTGCCGCGCGACCGTAAAGTTTGCCTGTCTTTGTTTTGGGCATACTTTATGGAGTCCGTTTAATCCGGTGAGGTGTTGCCGGTACTGCCCGCCCCGCCCCGCCCCGGCCTGGCCTCATTTCCAAAAGAGATAAACCCCTGCCGTCGCCGGCCGTGCCCTGCCTCGATGAGGAATAATAAAAGGCACCCCACTCCACTGCCTCACCTCGTATCCACGACAGCCCCCGCCGGCCGCCCCGGCCGCCCCCGCCAACTGGCCAAGTCCGGCGCGACGCGGCGCCGCTCGCGCCTTTAATCCCAGGGAAGTCCGCTGCAGGTTTACGACGAGGACGACGAGGTCGCGGGTCGCCGATGAGCGGGATGCACTCGCGTTGTCACTTGGGCGCGGCGTTGTTTGTCAATACGAGTCCGTCCGCGGCACCTTGGCCGCGCGTCCGCCGCGCGATGGCGGCGCAGAAAATAACCGGGCTGGCGCGGCGCGGGGCGGCGCGGCCGGCGCCACCACTTTACGATTTCCACGCGTCGCCACCACCGAATTTATGCGGAAACGACGGACGAGGCTCGACGACGCCGACGACGGCGATGCGGCGGCCGGGGATGACGCGGCGCGACGCGGCGTGGGCCGGCCCACCGGGCCACCGGGCCGACGAGGACGGCGCGGCCTCGTCGCGGGGCTGCCTGCTGGACTGGCCGACCGACCGCGCGGCCGGCAGGCGTGGCGACGCTCGCCCCGGGTCGACGCCGACGTCGGTGTCGCGCGGTTGGCGCGGTTGGCGCGGTTGGCGCGGTTCGCGAGGTGCGTTCGGGTGGCGGCGCTGGCGACGGGCGACTGGCGCGCCGCGAGACGCGAGCAGCGAGCGGGCGGTGGCGGCGCGTTGCGTTGCGCCTGGCCCGGTCCCAGTCACCCTCACCCTGGCCCGCCTAGACGTCGAGTGCGCCTCGCGCGCCTCGCGCCACGCCGCCGGGCTGCGCCATGGCCGTGCCGACGCGGCGGACGGACGGCGATGGGCGCCGGTAGGGCCTGCTGGGCCTAAGTCACCCTCCCACCGCCCCCACCAGGGCCCCACCCCCACCCCACCCCGCCGCAGGCCCACCCGGGCCCACCCCCGCAGCGCATCCCAGCAGCTGCAGCGGGAATTCAACTGGTGGATGGCGGGGCAAGGGGCACGCGCGCCGAATTAACTGCCAGGACGACTGTTCCTGTTCCGCCCTGCTGGGCCGGGCGGTGCGCTAGCGTGCGCTACAGCCATGCCACACCTGCAGCCTTGGCGCCGCGCCGCCCGGCCGTAGCGTGGCCCAGCGACTCGCAGCACGTCATGGACGTCATGGGCGGCATGGGCGTCGGCGGGGCGGCACTGATGACGCCGTCATGGACACCTCCGCGGCCTTCCAGCAGGGCTAATGAGGAACAGTGCTTGTTTCCCCGCCAGGTTTTCGCGCTGCTGGACAAGCCGTTTGACTCGGCGGCCAAGCTGCCATTGCGTTGCCCGCCCCGGCGGCGTCGCGGCCGTTGCGACGCGCGGATAGCAAAGCAAACCCGGCCGGTATCGTCGATACGTCCACCAATAAATCATTCTGCTGTCTGGAAAGATGGGCGAGGAGCAGGGCTTGGGGGAGGCAGCGCGGCGGCGGGCCGACGGACGGCCACGGCCAGGCCACGGCTGCAGCCCCCGGGGCGCGCAGCGTAGCACAGCCTAGCGCAGCACAGCGTAGCGCACAGAGGCCGGACTTAAAATTCCCGGCGCGCGCCGCGGCGAGGCGGCGAGGCCGTGCGGCCCGTCCGCCGTGCGGGAGAGGCGAGGCGGGCCTAACCAGCAGGACAGAGTGGCGCACGCTAATGGCGAGCAAGGGCGAGCTTCTTAATTATGCTGCAGCAATGTTGGCCGCGAAATCTATGTGGAAAAGGGGAAATCACGCTTACTTCTACTGAAAATAATTTAATATGACCTTAATTTTACACTGCTGTAATATCACAGACGCAAGCAGGAACAAGACCGGCGGAACGGCGGAGTCGAGGTTTAGAAACCTGTAAGGAAAGAAACGAAAACGTTGGTCATTGGGGCAGGGAGCGAGAGAGGGTGCGCACAGAAGACCGCCGGAGGCGCCCAAAATTCTAGACGCGTTTTGAGCTCCAGTGTCGCTAAAGGGGACTACAACGGAACGTGTGACCCCATTATGAATTGCTCTCCGAACGAGGAATCTAGTGGTGGGGTCAAACGCTCGGTTCGAGTCCTCTGTAGCGACTCTGGAGCTCAAAAGGCGTCTCCTGTTTTGACCGCCTGTGTCTGGCCCACTGTGGTTAGCCCAGCTTACTGGTGACGGAGCCCACGGGGTCGGACACTCCGATGCGCACTTCGGCGCCGATGAACAGGTAGGTGAACTCCACGTCCTTGTCCCGGGGCCTGGTCTTGATGGTGGACTTCTGCTTGCCGTCCTCCTGCTTGTACTCGTAGTCGAACTCGAAGGAGCCGTCCTCCAGGTGGGACAGCGTGAAGTAGTTCTTGAGCACCTTGCCCGACGAGTCCGGCCCGAACAGCCTCTGCAAGGCGGAAGCGGAAGCTGCATAAGGGTCTAATCCTTTCCTTTCTTTGCTCGACGGATACTGACTTGGGCTCTCCGTGGAAGGGTTTGGAAGGAGCGGGATTATTTTTGTCAGGGCTGATTGTACAAAGAGGTTGGCTGGAATGAAAAGCCCCCAAAGGGCGCTCTGCGCGTTTCGAAATGGCCTTGAATCCTATTCTTAAGTATGTCGTTTGTGATTCAAATATTCCTGACTGCAGCTCCCAGCAAACCGAAGTGGGTCTCGGCCCAAGCTGGCCGTTTAGGGCAAGCTACCCGGGTGCTTCACCGGCGTGGCTCGGCGGCATGAACAGGAGGCTCTTGGTGAGGGCGAGGGGCTGTGAGGGCCACGGCGCCAGCCACACCTGCCCCGCGCGGCCCGGCGGCATGAACAGGAGGCTCTTGGTGAGGGCGAGGGGCTGCGAGGGCCACGGCGGCAGCCACACCTGCCCCGCGCGGCCCACGCGGCCCACGGCGGCACGCACGCAGACAGGCTGTTGTTCGTGCCTCGATGCGGGCACGTGAGCTTGCACGCCACCCCAGCCAACATGAAGCAAGGCGGTCTGGAGCAGCCTAGCGGCCTAGAGGGCCTGGAAGGGAACGGCCTAGCGGCACACGGCCGTTTGGATAGGCGCGCTGTTTGGCCAACGCGACTCTGTACTCACGGATTTGAACGGCCCGCCGAAGAAGGCCTCGAACACGTCGTCCGGGTTGTAGGAGAGGGGCTCCCGCATCATCCTGCGCGTTGGAAAAAGAGCGAAAAGTGAAATAGAGTTGCCGGTGGAATTTCCGAGAAACGCGCGATAAGGAGGTGGACGTACGGGTGCACGCCCTTGCCGTCGAGCGAGAAGCCCTTGCACAAGGCCATGGTCGAGTCCCTGCAGACGATGGCCAGCAGCTTCTGGATGCCGGGCGCCTCGATGAGCGAAATGTCCACGGACCTGCCCCTCAGGAAGGCGTGCTTCTCCACCAGCACCACGCGGCCTGCAAAGGGTTAAGGGTTCGAGTCCCGCATCATCGGCAAGTCTGATGAGTTCCCGCGGGGAGGCGCCCAGCGCGCTCAGCGGCCGGGAAACCAGCTTTGGTGGCCAACTCGGGTTGAAGGGCGCTCCGTCCGTGGCCCTCAAATGAGATTCGACCCAAACAGACGATTGCGCTTAATTGATTCTCCACGCTGTCTATCGGTCCTGTCACGTGGAGCCGTGCTTGAATCGACATCTGTCGACGAGGAAATCGGTACCCGCGACATATCCGCACCCTGAGAACCACAGTTGAACGTGCTCCACTCGAGTCCCATTCAAAGTTCCATGCGCAGCCCCTACCGGCACTGACGCACGCTGACGCACGCTGACGTGCACTCACGGTACTCGTCGTTGAGGTCCTGGCAGGCGGCGCCCAGCAGCAGCACGAGGAGCAGGGGCAGCGCCCGGAGCGGACGCAGCGGGCGCAGCGCGCGGGAACGGGACTGGGGCATGATGAATGGAGAGGCCGAAGTGGAGCGACTGCTCTGACAGCGATCCCGTTTGTTTGCAGCGACTCGATACGAACACTGGCCGCGGCGGCCGACCTCCCACCCATATATAAAGACTTGGCTTATCGCGAGGTCAAGGTCAGGGCGCGGGGCGCGCCGCCTGGACGACACTGATTATTCGGGGGAAGGGAGCGAATGGGACGTAAAACGGATACGGAGGAGGAGGGCTGACAGTGATTTCCTTTCCCGCGTGCGGTCGGGGGCAGCCAATTTTTTTCCGTTCCCATTTTTTTTGTAGCGTTTTATTTTGCGTGGTTCGACTAACAGCAACAAAGAGGCGCTCCGCCGGCTGATACGGCTCGCGTGAATTCTATTACGGCACATGTAAACAATGCGTAGACGTGGCGGGAATAAATCGGGATTATCTAACCAGGCGCAGCGACAGAGCATGCAGCGCCCTGATGCCACGCCCCGCGCCGCCCCGCCCGGGCCGAATGCATTAGCAGTGCCGGGACGCTGCGACGCTGCGACGCTCTGTGAACCAGCACTGGCCGTCTGGCCGCGCTCCAACGCAATGCCTCTGCTTCGTGTCGTACACACGCCGGCCGTGTGGTGACACCTCGCCTCCATCAGCCGGCCGTTGTCTGCGAGACGCGGGCCTGGCCGTCCTGGCCGTGGCCGTCGCGCCCGTCGCCGTCCTGGCGCACCGAGGCGACACTGAATAAAGAGGCGCCGCCGCGCGCGCGCCAATAGCGATGCGTCTTGGCGCGCCTCGCCTCGCCTCAGAGTAAGTGCCGAGGGCGGTTCGCACCCCGCGCGCCGCGGCACGCCAGCGCCCGCCAGACAGCGCCCAAGTACACGCCGGTGTGTACAGTCTAAGCAAGCGCGACCGCACAGAGTAAACAGATTACCCGTCGGCGTGCTGTCTTTGTTGACGGGGTGCTGTCTCTATTGACGCCCTGCTGTCTCTATTGACGGCGTACTGTTTATGTTGATGGGGTTCTGCCTCAATTGACGGGGTGCTGTCTGTGTTGACGGGATGCTGTCTGTGTTGACGCGGTGCTGTCTGTGTTGACGGGATGCTGTCTGTGTTGACGCGGTGCTGTCTGTGTTGACGGGATGCTGTCTGTGTTGACGGGATGCTGTCTGTGTTGACGCGGTGCTGTCTGTGTTGACGCAGTGCTGTCTGTGTTGACGCGGTGCTATCTCTGTTGCCGAGGTGCTGTCTCTGTTGACGCGGTGCTATCTCTGTTGCCGAGGTGCTGTCTCTGTTGACGCGGTGCTGTCTCTGTTGACGCGGTGCTGTCTCTGTTGACGGCGTGCTGCCCGACGCGCGGCCACCACCGCGGTTTGACATTCGGCGAGAGAGACAGCTGCAGTGGACTGGGGTACTGGGCCAAGGATGGACTGCGCGGGTTACTGGGCCCGTTCCCCTGTCAACAGAGGCATAGGCAACCCAAGTGACTGCAGTGTGTCAGGTGGGGACGCTGTTCTCTGCCGGCTATGCGGTTTTGCAATGGACGTCTGCCACGACGGCTGGCGATAGCGTACGTGTGGGCACGCCGCGCCGCGCCGCGCCTCCAGCCGCCGGGCCAGGGCTATCGTTCTCCAAGTCCGCGGAAGGACGAATGCGACGGCATGCGCGTGGCGGCGCGGCGCGCGGCGTGGCGCGCGGCGTGGTGTCAAGGCTGTGGGCCGCGCGTGTGAGCGCAGCCCCTTAGTGGCGAGCGCAGCGCCGCGGGGCTGCAGGTGAGAGCCGAAAGCCGCGGCTCTCATTGTGACTTATGGCCGTGACGGCCGCTTTGCCGTATTTCAGAGCGCGGCGCCCGATATCCGCGAGCCGCGGACAAACACATACGCTGGCTCGATCTGGTCCGGTTTTTATGTTTCAACTGGAGGGCGGCACAAAGAGCAGAGGCTATGAAAGGCTGATTGGAAACGTTTTACTCGCGGCGAATGATTCTTTTTGGCGTTGACGGCGTCCTTTGTGTGGCTCGGGCGTTGTCGTGATCGCGGCCTAGCTCGTCATATACAGGCGGCTCCCCCCACCGGGAGTATGACGTTGAAGGGGCCGGCCGCCGTGCAGGCCACCTTCTTCATCATCTTGCCGAAGAGGCCTCTGGCGTCGGCGGCCGTGGCCAGGCAGGCCAGCGCGACGGCCAGCAGCAGCAGCAGGCAGCACAGCTTGGACATGGTGGCTGCAAAAGAGTTCCAAATCGAAGTTGGAAATGCGGCTCGAGGCGCGATGATGAAGGGAAGGCACTTACGTGATTTGGCCTGGCGGAGGGAAGACTGACCGCCGGCAGTCTTCGACGCGCCAATTTATACTGCCGGACAATACGTCGTGTCCGAGGGACTGCTTGTCAGGAATGGACTGTCGTGCTGCACGACTTAAATTCACCAAATGCGATCATCAACGCCGCGGACGTCAGTTCCATGTACTTGTTTTCATGTTTGTCAGAATCGTGAATCGTGTCCCTGTCGTTTCGTGGTTCGTTTGCACGTGAATCGAGGCGTGCTTTACTTGGTGGCATCGAATCGAATTTCTGACAGTTCAGTTCAAACACGAGTAGGCCTGAAAGTGGTGGACTTTTTCAGTGGTTTTAGCCCTGAAAAATCGTCAACTCGGAAAATTCACATCGTTTGTTCGTTTTCAAATCAAAGCTGCTCAGATCCGATACGATTTCGAACGACCGATTGACACACCTCCCGCATCCTCCTCCCTCGCCAGTGTCATTGCCACTGGACGACCCTGGGGTGGGGCGGGGTCGGTCGACCGGGTAGAATCCGTACTCTAGACCGCGTCGGGGCCGTCGGGGCTTCCCCCAGACGGCACCGTGGCCGCGGGGCGGGGCCGACGCTCCAGCGCGAAGGCAGCGACGACGGCCAAGAGACGTTGAAACTAAGCGATGAGCATCTGTCAAACGTAGGTTCTGCAACGTATTTTCAGCGCTATATATGTTGTGAATAAGTGCTTGGACATTAATTTTGGTTTTTGCGCATCGTGGTAAGTATTTTTTTGCGGGGTGGTAGGTACTAGATCATTTTTGCTTGCACCATGGTGAGTATTACGTGAAACATTTTTTAGTTCACACCGGTGGGTACTTTAACATTTTCTTGGCTCCACGGTAGGTACTAAAATATACTTGCACCACGCGAGTACTAAAAATATTTTTGCACCACGGTAAGTATGTGCTACGCAAATGAATTTTTGCACCACGGTCTGTAAGTATTCCGTAAAGCACTTTTTGCTCCTCGGTAAAAGTACTAAAAGATGCCTTTGAACCATGTACTCATTTCTTTTTGCTAGAGCTAAGCAGTGTTACGATGTTGCTCGATTACTTCCGAATGGGTGGGCCCGGTTGTTTTTCTTCCAATGAATGTATGGATGAGAGAGGCGCCGAAGGAGAGGAGAAGGGGAGGGGAAGGGGCGCGGAGTGAGAGGTCGGCGGGGCTGGCGATACTCCGCGCCCTGCCGCTACTCCGCGTCGCGGCGCTAGCGGCGATACGCCCCGCCTCGTCGACGCTGCGTGTTGGCCCTCGCGGCGCGGAGTATCCACGAGCGCCAACGGCACTATCGATGTGTCATAACTCGGATGAGGCAAGATTGCCGCCTGGCACCGGTGGCACTGTGTCGCAAGGACCAAGGACCGGTCACTAATCTGCGTGGGTTGGATTTGGAGTGAGTGGGCGGTGCACCGTCGCTGCGGGCTGTGGCTTGCATCTTGGGTGCGTGGACGCCTTTGACAAACGGGGTCGAAGGGTACTGTGGCACTGTGGCAGTGGAGGCTGCATGTTTGTTTGGGCATCGAGGCGGCCGGGCGAACGTCAATGTCCCTGGGCCGTGGGGGGATGCCGCGGGGGCGGGCAGCTGGGGGATGGCGAGAGCCTAGGCGAGAGCGCTGGCCCCACCCCCACGACACCCCTACCGCCCCACCCCCGCCTTGGCGCCCACCCCGCCCTTCGCGTAGCTTGGCGTAGCTTGGCGGGCCTCCGGTCGGACCGGGCCGCGCTATGCGGGCTGCGCGCCGCGCCGGGCGGGGGCCGGGAGGGCCGGGAGCGCCGGCAGGGCATGGCCGGCAGGGGTGGGGGCACCGGGGCCCGGGCTTTGGCCTGGCGTGGCGCAGCGTTGCGCGCCGCGGCCAGTCTCACGCTGAGATCGTCTCGTGCCGCGGCGCCGCGGCTTGGCGTCGTCGAGCTCGGCGTGGAGCGCACTGCGCGGCCCGCAGCGCCGTCGGTGCGTGTCCGGTGCATGCTGCCAGCATGGCGGAGCAGGGAGGGGACATGACGCCGGTGGCCGCCAAGACTCCGGACGAGGAGTCGCCGCCGTCGGCGTCCTCGGAGGCCTCGGGGAACGCCGTGGCCCTGCGGCACGCGCAGTGGGCCGAGCTGCTGGCCGGCGTGAGCGGCTCGCGGCACGATCAGCTGTTCGGCGCCATCTCGCCCCCGCCCGACGCCGGCGCCCTGGGCGCCCTGGGCCCCGCCCCCTCGTCCGCCGCGGACGTGCTGCAGGGCGCGCGCCGCTGCGGCCGCCGGTTCATGCGCGTGTTCAGTGACAACCTGCACAACTGCTACGTGGACCTGCTCGACTCGAAGCATATGATGGAGTTCAGGGCGCGCGCCCTCAAGCGCCGCATCTGCCGCGGCACCAGGAAGGAGCCCACCAACGAGTTGTACCGCAGCAACAGCTTCAAGTTCGAGCGCTTCGAGCGCAAGGACGACGACAAACAGGTAGGCGCTCACACCTGTGGTTGCCGCGACCGACGTCGTGTAGATGGCGATCGAGATCCCCATGGCCTAGGCCGCCCGAACCGCCCAATGGGCAGGCCGGCCAGGTCGGTGGCCACCACGCCGGCCCTGCGTGATCGCGGCGGGCACGCCCCCTTGGCGTGCTACCGTTTGACGCTCGCCCGGCTCGCCCGGCCCCACTGGTCTTCGGTAATTAGGAGTGCTCGGCCCAATGGAACCATGTTGCTGTCATAAGTGGGGCGGTGCCAGGCGGTGCGGTGGGTGGCCGCGGCCCGGACTGGGCTAGACCGCCCTGCCACCGCGGCTCGCACCGCAAGGATCCCCAGATTCGGCCTTTCTTGTCTTCTGGAGAAGGTGCCCTGGCGTCCTGCAGTCCAAGACCCCCCTGTGGACCTCGCCTTGCTCCGCGGCGGGCGCCGCAACGCTCCGCAACGCTCCGCAACGCGATGACTGCGTGTAATATTGATCCGCGATATTGTAGGGCGCCGGGGATGAGCTGAGGATGAGGCTGCGCGGCGCAACGACCTGGGCAACGCGCGGCGGGCGGGGCAGGCCGGGCGGGGCAGGCCCAGTAGGCCGGCATGCTCTCAGCGCCGCGTCGCCGCGGTGCATCATTGATGGGGCGTGAATATTAACCCGTGCGCCGCCAGCTTCGTGTCCACGACGGCGACGCGGAGGACGCGGAGAAAGTGGCGGCTGTTTGGCAGGCGGTGTGGTATGGTTGCAGACGGCGACAATGGCTTCGAAAGTGACTCAAACGCGGTCCGTCCGTCTGCCCGTCCGTGTTTGCGCCGCGCTTTGTCTTTCGGTAGCGCTGGCTGCTTTGGCAGGCTCGACTTTCGACTTTCTGGCGCGGCGGCGGGCGCATCCGGCCCGGCGGCTCGCTCTTCGCTCCCGGGTCATGGCCGCGACCGGCCAAATAATGCGCTCGCTCCGTTTCGACAACAACCTGCTCGCCAGGCAGCCCAGGCCTCGGCCCAGGCCGCCCCGGCAGCGCGTGTGGCCGCGACACGGTGTCCGGCCGTACGAAGAGAGTCGCTTTGATATCCCCGTTGGTGCGTGGGCAGACAGCAATCTACGTACTGCGCACACTAACAAACGTACATACACGCGCGTGTGCACACACACACACACACACACACACACACACACACACACACTCGAATTGCCAGCTGCCCGCTCGGCCATGCGGACACAAACACACAGCATCTCGGTCAGGCCCGCCGCGCCGCCACGCGAGCGCGCGCTCCGGCCGGCTCTACATACTTTGCGGTTTTGTTCCTGGATAGCGGAGCCAAGAGACCCTGGCATTGATTTGTGCAGCGCCGCGCAATTGTTGTGTTGTTGAAGGAGAAACCGTGTGTGCATTCGAAATCAAATTTGAAATTCGAATCGAATTTGAAATTCGAAATCCAAAACGAACTTGGCGTGTAGTCTTTTTCCCGAAGCGATAGGGAGCGGGCGCGTGCCTGGTGCGTGCGCGGGGGATCTCCCTCCTCCCCCTGTCGGATTTTGCAGCGCTGTGCAAACTTTAACGCAATTTGGTCGTGACATAATTATGGGGGCAGATCCGCGTGAAGGGCTGGGCCCGGCTGGGCCCGGCTGGGCCATGCGGGGGCGGGGTTTGTGCGGCGTCGGCGCTCTCGTCTGGCTTCCCTCCTCTCCGCGCCACCTCACCTACTGACCCTGCTATGTTAATGTGCGTGCGCATTGTGCGCAAGCCGAGGCACAAGCCGCCCGCGCTGGAATGCGGGCTTTTGCTCCGTTTTGCGCGCTGTGCGGCGCTGTGCGGCGCCGCAAAAATAATATGTGGCCGATGCGGGGGACCCACATTCAGCTGCAGCCGTCGAGTAACTTGTCGGATTTCCCGCCGGCGTGTTGTTCTTTTCTCTTCCCCTTTGCAAGCCCGTGTCGTGCTTTGTGCGGTCGTTTGCCGTCCGTGATTTGCCCTGTTTTCGACTCGATGACACGGCGGCCCAGACTGGCGCAGCGTCGCGCAGCGCGCGCAGCGCAGCGCGGTCCCTGGTGCATGGTGGTCCACAGGTGGGTCGTAAGGACGTCGACGGCCCCCTCCCCCCGCCGCCTCCCGCCCCTCCGGAGTCACTCAGGTGCACCGAGTCGCATAGTAATTGCGCTTCTTTCCGTACTCAAGGATTGCATGTAGGTGGAAGTCTGGTGCTCAGGACTGGCTGTTCGCTGCTTCTCTCTGGATGAGGTAACTCGGCGCTGCGCCGCACAGGGGTCGCTGCGGCTCTGCTCTCCTTCTGGTTCGCCTAGGTTCGGCCCCTCTTTCTCTTTTCCTTGGCTGGTTCCGGCGGGACAGTAGTGGTCGATTTATCGCGCCGGCTTGTGCCACCTGGGGACCGGCAGGACCTGAGAGCGTGTTTAGAATCTGTCGTGAGAGCGGCACCGGGCCCGACCGGGCCGGCACCAGGGCGGCTGCCTTTAACGATCACTCCCCTGGCGACGCCACGGCGACGCCACGGCGACGTCCTCCACGCCCGGCCCGCTTGTCTTTATGATCGCCGTGTGACTGCCGGGGTCCCGGAGGCTCCTGGAGGAGGCCCTGAGCAACAGCAGGGCCTGCTTCACCTCGCCCAAGCGCCATCTTTCTGCCCTAAAGCCAGCCCGGCTGTCATGACAACACCTGAGCCCCGGTGGCTTCTTACCACCAGGCGCACCCAGCGTACTCACAAAAAGAAAAGTACGCAAACACACACACACACAGACACACACACACACACTCACACACCATCCCCTCTGTAAACTTTTGATCCCATGTGCCCGCGGGTCGTTGCGCGTCCTCCGGCAAACAGAAGTCCCATATTCCTTTCTTTTTGTTGTCATTCTCTTCGCGCTCGTCCTCTCCGCTTCCGCCCTTCCCTCCGCCGTTCGCGGTTCCTCCTCCCCTTTTGGTCGATGCGCCACGCCCTTGCCAGGTGCAGCCTGCAGCCTCACGGCGCGGCCGGGCCGGGCTGGGCCGGGCGAGGGTGGCGCAGGAACTGGGGCAAGGGCCTGTAACACTCGGTTACTGCACGTCTGTCCGTCCGTCCGCCCGCCCGATCCAGTCCTGGCCGCGGGATCGGGTGCCGAGTGCCGAGTCTTGCTCGCCGCGTTGTTGGCGTGCGAAGGGCCGGGGGCCGTGTCGTCTGCGGGGACCCGTAGCTCATCATTCCGGCTCCCCGGCGCCGAGTAGCCGAGGAAGCCGCCACGACCCTTCCTTGGCCCGCCCCTGGCCCGCCCCTGGCCCGCCCCGACTGTGCAGTGTGTTGCGCCACTGTGCTCCGCTCCCGAAGCACTGCCGTTGCTTTCTTCCCATCGCCGCGTCTCGCGCGTCGCGCCGTGTCGCACGCATCCGCCGAGACGTATGCGCTAGCTCGTGGTGACATTATCCTTGTGCGAGCGTGTCTCGCGTGGGAGCGGCCGGGGGAAAGGCCAGGAGGAGGAGGAATATGATAGTCCATTTTGCTCAACAAGTGATGTACGCGCGACGACAATAGAGTGGTACGAGGCGGCGGCGGTGCGACCGCGTGCACCTTGACGGTGGTGGAAACATTTCATTTTCACGCGCGAAAAGACGACACCCTGTCACGCCAGCCAGCTCCTCGGAGCCCCACCGGGCCCCCTTGGCCCGAGGCGGCCCCTCTGCGCGGTCCTTTAGCCGGCCATCCGTCGTGGCTACGGCCTGATACCATTTTTTATGGCGGGGCAGAAGGAACGCGGCCACCAATTTATCGGCTAAACCTGGTGCGCTCTACGGCCCTCGGCTGCCTCGGCCCCAAAGAGTCTCCGCCGGGTCTTTTTCCGGACCACGGCCACCTATCCGCCTCCCCGCCCAGCTTCATCCCCTTCTCTGTGCCCAGCGCCACGACGATTTGCCTGTGCACCGCATCATTGCTGGTCGGCCGCGCTGGCCGCGCCAGGGCAAAGTAGGCAACCCACTGACTCATTCACTTGAGCGCTCTGAGTCACAGCGGAGGTGGCCGGTCGCTGGAAAGGGAGGGGAGAGGAGTTGATGAGCTGCCGCCGAGAAGACGTGCCCGGACAGCGGCTCGTCGACGAACGAGCCTTTTTCGGAGTAAATATGAGAAATTGCCGCGCCACGCTATCTCGTCCGATTGCAAACAAACGTCGACGACAGGCGAGACGCGTGTCGCTGATGGGCGCGCTGCAAAGCCCCGCAACAATGCAGCGCCGCGGCGGGCTGGAGGCACTGAAGGGCGCTCTTCGATGCAGTGTGATTGATGCCATGGGGATCCGTATGACGGGTCCGGATGGCATGGCTCGGGCATGGCTCGGCATGCCGCTTCCCTTCCGGGCCTTCCGGGCCGCGGGGGCGATGAACTGTGTTGTGCAGGCCAGCCAGCCAGCGCCACTGCCCGGAGTGCCCCCCACCACCTTTCCCCGGCCTCTCCCGAGTCTCGAATGATTTCGGCGCGACCCGCTTCTGCTCTGATGGAACACAACATTTCATACACACGTCTCGCTTCTCATTTCTTTTGATGTCACATTTTTGAGGGAACACCCACCCCACCCAACAACCAGGGCGGCCGCACTGCCATGCAATATTACGTTTTTTCTGGTTACATTCTACCCCTTTCTCTCTTTTTAGGGGTTCCGACGAAGGAGGACCCCTATTGCCCGGGGCCGCTCAGAATTCTTCTTCTACGGACCCCCCAGGATGGACATTTCGCTCCCGCCATATTAATCCTTTTCATAATACAATAAAAAGTCCAGAAAATCTAAAAAATTTATCGTGGAAATTTTCCGTAAACGACTAAAACATAAATTTGCAACAATCAAGCACCCTTATCCGTTCACATTTTCCAGAAACGTTTCGAAGAAAAAATGTGCCACTCCTCCAAAACTTAACTTCCTGCCTCATCAAAGTGACAAAAACTAATCACTGTTCTAAGAAAATGATAAAAACATGAAGAAAAATTCTCGATGAAAACGTCCCACTGCCATTATACCAACTGTCA